TTGAATTGTTGCGTAAATGAAAAATGCTCAGGTTTCAATCTGGGTTTCTCGATTTGCTTTTATCAACTTCTCTATTTTCTCAGTTCAATTTAAAAAATCAGGAGTCTGTGTGGTTTTCATCAAACCTTCCTCATCATTAGAAAATGTTGGCAGTTTTATCAAAAAATGCTTGAATTCAAGAAGTTTTAGATTTGCGTGGTTTTTTTTTGAGTTGCAAAATCGACTTGAACATGACGCTGCTTTTTTCGAAGTTTCTCAAGAACCATTCGTGCCACAAAATTCGTTTAGGCATCGTTGGATAGAGAATTGAATGGCCCCCATGACCCCCCCCCAGGATCCGCCCTTGCAAAGTTGGGAGGTAAAATTTTCAAAAACCGCCAACAGGCCTGCACTCCCATTAAAGTGAAATTTACACAGTTGCTGCAGCCTGCATGCGGCTATGATTGAGGCAACTTTTAGGAGCCTTGTTTAGGAAGTTTTTGACTTAGGAATTCTTGAAAAATGACTTGCAATAGACGCGGAGGAAAGATGAAAACAGCCAGCCTACGCTGTTCATAAAGTGAAACTCGGAGAGTTTCTACAGCTGGTAATATGCAGCCTTTGTGCCAAATTTCAGGAGTGTTGTTCAGAAAGACTAGCCGAGTTAGAAAGCTGTAATTCTAGTAGAAAAGCTCACGAATAAATCGAATATATAAAAATTAAATCGCAATTCAGATTGTTTGGTGGCGGAAAAAGAGCCGCACCTGCTGCAAAGGGCTGCAGTTGAACTCGAAAGAGGAAAATACACATACAGAGACCAAATGGGGCGTCGGAGTTCTCAACCGCGGCAAAAAATTGTATCGAGTTGATTTTTCCCGGTCGCAACAGGTCCTGCTGATTATGTGCCCTCGCTCTTTGGGAATCAGAGATTTGTGCGGAATTTATTACATAATGGGGATGTTTTGGGGTGTTCAAAGAAACGCTTTGTTTAGTTTATAGTTGTCTCGCATAAGGGATGAAATTGCTTTGTTTTCTAGTCTTGCTAAGCGCAAACGGCTTAAAAGCTTTCAGAGTATGAGTGGGCTTTTTTCCGGGAATCATGCAATCGACTGTCCATCAATGTAGGTAGGTGTTGCTAAGTATCAAAACTTCGTAAAAATCACCCGCTGTTTTTCCATTCTTACATGTCTAAAGCAGCGCCATATAATTAGGTTTTGCGGTGTTTCGCCGAAAATTTCTACAGAACATCGTTTT